GTAAAATATTATTTCATAAAATTATGAAATAAATAATTAATCATTTATCGTTATAATTTAATAATTTGAATATGAACATTTATAATGAATACTATATGTTATATTTTGCCTTAATCAAATAAATTAAATATTTCAGTTGCTGCAATGACTAGTGAAATACATGATCTTCAAAAATATATGCAAGAACATCAGAGAAACAAAAAGGCCAAAGTATTTTTAAAAGAGTTGATAGATAAAAGAAAGAAGTACCTCAGACTACTGCGTACATGGGATTATAGACGATTCGAATGGATCCTTGAACGTCTAAATCTTATTTATAAAGCAGAACCAGAGTATGTTACCTTTCTCTTATGGTTAAAACCTACTAAATTAACTGATCCTTATAATTTTGGATTATTTTTTGTTGAATATAAACAAACAATTGACAGCCTTTACTACTCACTCCTTAATATAACTAGAGTAATGAGTTTGAAGAAACTATTTCTATTTATTTAATACTTTACCTAGAAGTTAGAGGACTTATTGTTAAGTTACAATATAATTATACAAGTAGCTCCTAAAATTAAGAAAAACTAACCATCACCCTTAATATGTACTATGATTTTATATTTATACAGCATCACTGCATACATTATTTGTCTTTTAACTTATAGAAAAAGTGGCATGGTATCAAGGAAAGACTCATTAAGAAAAGTAACACAAAATTATTGTGACAATATTATTGAAAAGAAACTAAATGAGTATAAAACTGAATTAAAAGAACAACAAAAGTTATTTTACCTTGAAAAAGCTGAAAAATTAGAATTTATTTTAAAAGAAGAAGAAGAATGTGGTATGACACCGACGGTAACAGAAGAAGAAATTCAAACTGCACGGAAGAAAGCACAAGAACTAATGGAGTAGAATTGTATATAAATTGTTTTGCATTTTCTTGAAAGCTCTTTTTATTTCTCCTCTTCTTTTAATCTTCTATTACATTGAAGTGTGTAGTAAATAATGCTAGTGTTAGTACAAATTTAATATTAAAAAAATATAAATTGATTGTATTATTTCTATTTTTTAATTGGAATTTATTTGGATGATATTCATAGAAATGTACAAAATTATGTAATCACTAAAACAAAAGATTTCATTTTCCTAAATATTTACCTAATTCTTACCCTTGATTAAAAAATAATACATAATTAGCACATTTGTAATTAACTATTAATTAATAAATACGTTATAATCATAGTTTCGAAATGTTAAAATCTGTTTCGGTTATTATTAAATGGAGAAAAGCTTATTTCAAAATTTTCTTTGAATTTAGTTGAAAGTCTATTTTCTTTCAAATCACTTCTCGGGAAAGATATAATTTAACTTATTGCTGTTTCATTTTTTACATAATTGGTCCAAAATGTTTTAGCTCTCTAAATTTTAAATATTTTGTGTTTAATATATCACTCAAATACTACAATTAAAAAAGTATTTCTAATTTTCAATAAGCAACTTTCATGAAGTTAATTAAAACTCGAAATGTTAATTTTTCTTTTATATTATTTTATAAACATGTACTGCATCAAATATTTCAAAATACCAAGAAAGTTAGATGTTTTTACCTTAAAAAATAAAATACCATTAATGTAATTTACTTTAATTTCGAAACAGTTTTAGAAAATATTGCAGTATGTAGTTCCATGAAAATTATGGCACATAATTTGCTTTAATGTTATTGCAATTAGTAACGCTTTTACTACCAGTTTTGAAACGAAAATTGAGAAACACTGGATCGCTGTATCGGCGCGGCGGCAGACAATACTTAAGCGTACGTTAAGAAAAGGCATTTAGATTCTCCAATTCTTTAAAGAGTTATTACGTAAGGAAAGAAATGACTCGAATTCGAGTGGTTATGCGTTAAATCGCTGCAGTGGTTCTTATTTGTCATTTTTCTTTACTTAATGTCACAAAAAATTCAATTTCTGAAGAAAAAAGCTAGTAATGCAAACAAAATTACAGTATAATTACCTAAACACAAACTGGTTTGCAACTAAGAAATTTTATGAAAATCATGTTTTATTCTTAAATGCAATATCGATAATTTAAAAATTATCTCTTCTTTTTAAGTGTCATTTATCGATCAATTAACTTCAAGAGAAGAAAACATAAGAGGCGATTGTTTATGGAAATATGTTCAGAAAAAAGAAATTAAAAAATCATTTGTAAAAAATAATAAACAAAATTAGACGAAAAAGTAATTTTATTAAACTAAATGTATGACATTCTTGGAGAGTTCTTTCACGAAAAGTATCAGATCATTGATAAATTCATGAAATTAATAAAATTAAGTTTATTGAAATTTTTGAAAATACTTATGAACAATCACTTAGTAACTCTTAAAGGAAAGTTTATTTCAATTTATCTATAAAAAGGAACATTTGTTAAGATAGGAGTTGTAAATATTAACATTTATCATTTAGATCCAGAAAACTATAAAATTCTAATGATTGAGTAGACACAAATTTTAGTGATGTGAAATAATCTAATGAGTGTATTTGAAATGAACAAAAGAACAACTTGAGATATGTATACAGATTAAGTCATATGAATACTTTCAAATAATTTTTCAATACTCCAGAAAATTATTATTCAAATATTCACATGAATGATTAACGAATATTTGAAACAAATTGAAGAATGTGTTAAAACAACGTAGAATTAGATAAAATTAACCTCTACATTTGAATACTTAGATGAAAATTTTCTATGAAGGAATGTCATACTGAAGTGTTTGAATTTTTCCAATTTTAGTTAATATAAATCGCTAAATACTTATTTAATGTACTGGTATTAGTAGTTAAAGTATATCAGTTTCAACAGGTGATGACGTTCCCACGGCTGCACGTTGCGCATCTCGCGTTGTATCAAGATAGGCCCAAAAAATGTAAGTGAACGTTCTCATGTATACCGGGTGACTGAAATAAATTTAACAACTATCGCGTCCGTACAGTTTCGTTAAAAAGATTACGTCAATATAATTGTAAACTTGATTTTTAGTTCCCTATTTCGTGTTGTATGTGAAAAATACATTGCATGAATTAAAAATTGTATTTTTTTATATTCTGTTCTAAAATGTTCAAAATTTATCCTGTTATATTTATGGTTTAAATTTTATTATAATACT